AACATACTCGTCAACAACTTCGAGCTTAGTGTTCCCAACAACTACCGGCATAGGTGTGACATGGACATTAAACATGATCTTTGTTTTGTCCATGTTCATCTTAAGACCTATCCGTTGGGAAACACTATTGAGGTTATTGAGCATAGTACTTAAGTCCTCCAGCGACTCTGCCATAAGGACTATATCGTCGGCAAATCGAAGGTGAGTGATGTACTCGCCATTGATGTTGATACCGTATCCTTTCCAGTCCAGAAGCTTGAAAACATCTTCCAAGGCAGCGGTAAAGAATTTCGGGGATATGACGTCACCCTGTTTTACACTTCTTAAACTTCACTGTCTTAAACTTGAATAGTGTGAGGGTTATTACGTTGGTGAAATACTATGATACGCCTTGCGTTTTGTTTTTGTGTTTAATTTCTTAAATCAAGTTTGTTGTCGTATTTATGACACTGACGAATCATTAAAGTATAGAGTAAAAGTTTAATGTTAAATGTTTTAAGCCAAAAGTTAAACCTTTTTGTTCGATTAATGATAAAAAGTACCCGCAAGTACTTTCATTATTTCTAAACGTACCCAAATATGATAACAAATGTCAAAAGAAATGTTGGAGGTATTCTAAATGAGTTATAGTTTGCATTCAGTGGATATTTCACTTGCTCAAATTATGTTATAATTTGATATTTCATACGAGGTGTGATTTACATGGGATAGTTTTAAAATTCAAAATATTTAAACGATGTATCGAAAAAAGGAACATGTTTACTTTAACGTGCTATAAATTAAAAACACCAAGTAGTATTTTTGTGTTCTAATGTGTTGATAAGTGTTACAGTTTACTGCGAGTATTACGTGGTCGATAAAATTGGGATTTGATGTTGAGGGCTTCGTGGAAGATGTGGTGCTGTGGCACTAGCTCTTGAGTGGAAATATGCTGTAGGATTATGACGCCGCGGACATTTTATTTGCCGCTGCTACCGATCACCGTTTGATACAAGATAGAAAGAAAGAAAGAAAGAAAACTTTAATTAACATCACAAAGAAAAAAATAAATAAAATAACACGAGATATAAAAAACAGGATTTGTGTAAAGTCAAATTAGGTCCCTATTTCAGCTAACAGCTGCTGAACTAGGACTTAAGTACTATGCTCAATAACCTCAATAGTGTTTCCCAACGGATAGGTCTTAAGATGAACATGGACAAAACAAAGATCATGTTTAATGTCCATGTCACACCTATGCCGGTAGTTGTTGGGAACACTAAGCTCGAAATTGTTGACGAGTATGTTTACCTGGGACAAATAGTCCGACTAGGTAAGTCCAACTTCGATCGAGAGGTCAATCGACGGATTCAACTCGGTTGGGCAGCGTTCGGGAAATTACGGCACATCTTCTCGTCAGGTATACCTCAAAACTTGAAAACGAGACTGTACACCCAGTGCGTGTTGCCAGTGATGACATACGGAACTGAGACGTGGTCCTTCACTGCTGGCTGGATGAGGAAGCTCAAGGTCGCTCAGCGAGCTATGGAGAGGGCTATGCTCGGAGTTTCTCTGCGTGATAAACTCAGAAATGAGGATATCCGCAGTAGAACCAGAGTGACCGACATAGCCCAATGGATTAGTAAGCTGAAGTGGCAATGGGCTGGCCATATAGCTCGAAGAACCGACAACCGATGGGGAAGAAAGGTTCTCGAGTGGCAGCCTCGTACCGGCAGGCGAAGTGTAGAGCATCCCCCCACTAGATGGAGTGACGACCTGGTAAGATATGCAGGAAGTCGATGGATGCAGGTGGCTCAGGACCGTGCTTTGTGGCATTCCTCGAGAACCTTTCTTCCCCATCGGTTGTCAGTTCTTCGAGCTATATGGCCGGCCCATTGCCACTTCAGCTTACTAATCCGTTGGGCTATGTCGGTCACTCTGGTTCTACTGCGGATATACTCATTTCTGAGTTTATCACGCAGAGAAACTCCGAGCATAGTCCTTTTCATAGCTCGCTGAGCGACCTTGAGCTTCCTCATCCGGCCAGCAGTGAAGGACCACGTCTCAGTTCCGTATGTCATCACTGGCAACACGCACTGGGTGTACAGTCTCGTTTTCAAGTTTTGAGGTATACAGTTTAGGTTGCGTAATATTTTTTCTACTGCATTAGCAATAGCAGGCACAAAGCGTAAGGAGACATTTGCGTTGTTACTATACAATGACTTATCTAATAGAGGTATATTACAATTAGGGATTGTTGTTTTGTTGTTGTTTAATTTTAATTGTTCCATTAGTTTATAAAGTACTATTTTTCTTGAGTTTATTTCAGGTATTCTAAAGATGTTCTCAATATTTTTACTTAGTTGTTTTATGTCTTCTCTTAGTTTTTCATTTTCTTTTGTAATTGACTCTATTTTTAAGTTCAGTTGGCATATCTCATCTTTTCTTTCTTTATTTTGACAATTTAGAATTTCTGTTTTTTGCATCATAAAAAAAAATATTCATCTTTTTTTAATGATATAATGCCTTTATTAATTTCTGACTGAATTGTACTTTGCAGCTCATTTATTAGTGATCTATTATTTTCTTTCAACTTTTGTTGTGTTATTACACTTAGAGTTTGCAGTAAGTTTTGATCAGATTTTGCACTTGGATTTGGGGAGGTCTGAGTAATAACAGTATCACCTAATAGCTCAATATCCACCAAATCACTAGTGTCATTGTGCGTATTATTTGGGGATCTTCTTAATGTAATGTTGTCTGTATAATTTTGGAGATATTTACTACAAGAGATTTTTCGCAACATTATGTTATAGAAGCGTTGTGTGGTTATATTTGCGCAATCAAAATCGTATATATTTTGCAGTATTTACAGGTTAGATGTTCCCGTTACAACCAGCACAGTTAGTCGACATTATTGCAAAGTATTTCTTCCTAAGTAATTATTTTGCCGCCCTCTTGTGGTGTATGTCGGAGATGGGAAGTAATTTGCGGTTTTTGGTGTCCTGCTTATTGTTCGATGTATAATGTTTAGTTTTCGGGTCTAGTCTAGTAGATGGCGCAATAGGTTACAAAGATTCGTTCGTAAAAGTGTGCGCCTATCTCTAACAATTAAGCAAAATAGTAATCGATTGTCAACTTGTCACAGTGGGCTCTTGGTGTTACGTGGTTCATGTAAGTTTGGGATGTAAGCTTGGGGAGTGCTTTTAGCCGGGATGGAAGATGTGATTTAGATGTGGACAGGCGTGTCGCTGCCGGGAACAAATTCAATGGTGCCCTGACTGCGTTAGTCAAAAGGCAAGGCGTAGTGAAGAGTGCTCGCCTTGCAATATATAACGCAGTGTTGGTACCGACTTTGTTATATGGCAGCGAAACCTGGGTATGCCAGAAGAAGCATAAATCTAAGTTGAATGCAGTGGAGATGCGATCTCTTCGTAAAATGTGCGGCGTTACCATGGCCGACCGAAAGCGAAACGAAGAGATTCGCAATATCGCAGGTTTGAAAGATGACCTTATCACAAAAATTGATAAGGGCCGTGCTTCGATGGTTTGGGCACGTTGAGCGAATGAGTGAAGACCGAATGGTGAAGAAAATATATAGCGCGAAAGTTTATATTAAAAGGTGTCGAGGTAGACCGAGACTAACTTTCGAAGACCATGTGAGCGAATTGCTCGAAGAGGGGAGGGTCAAGAGTACTCGGATACCTAGACGTGCATGTATGAAGAAGATAATGGATCTGAATGAAGCGAAAGAGGTATGTAAGGATCGTGACACTTGGCGATCTGTTCTCTCTGGCTACCCCGTGAGGGATTGTGCGTGAAGATAAATAAATAAATATGTAAGTTTCAATAGATGGCGTTAGTACCATCAACCCTGGTTTATCGGGAACTTAGCGTTGAGAGTTCAATGTCCAATTTATTAGAAATTGTATAGCGGTTGAGAAAATGTTCACATAAAAGTATAACAATTATTATAGCACAGTTTTATTTTTTCACTTATAACTTTGTAAATTGTTAAATCTTGAACGCGTCCAAGAGTGACGTCACGCATGGGAACGAACTGGCCGGTCCCGGCCATTACGCTTCGAGCTCCGCACACAGCAACAAGCTTTAAATTTAATTATTTGTAATTACTAATTAAATAGCATATTAAATGTACTGCATTTCATTGCGGAGTTTTCATTGCAATATCCTCAAGAAATTGAAGAGCAGCGTGATCAAAATGGTGACCTCGACGTGATTTATGCGAGAAAAACATCCAGCATATCGAAGATTTCGAAAAATATACCGAACTAAGACGAACCCAACCTCAAGGAATCCGCCAGCCACCAGCTGCAGCCATTGTTCCGAGGGAAGTTCTTTTTTATTTTCCTTTCTATTTATCCATCCTACCTGTTTCAATTTGCGTAGTCTTTAACGTGGACAACGCCTTTGGCTACATACATCTACCGCCATCTTCAAAATATAAAAACGCTAAAATTATTACTTGTTGGTAATTGAATTACGTTCATTGTACGTCAATTTAACGAATAATTTATTACATGCAACGTCAATTTAAGTATAAATAAGCATTCTTAACAAAACAATATATAATAGTAGTTTCATATCATTACGCAAACATTGCAATTCAAGTTAACTAGTGTTCATAATTGTAAAACAATTAAAATAACCTTAATATTTATTTTATTTATAGTTTGCAATTAAAGAAAACATATTGCATTCTAAATATAGTGGTATAATCTATATATTTATTTTGCAACGCCCCAATTTAAAAAGATTTAAAGGAATTGTAGATATTAAACATAGTTGCCGACTATTCCAGGCGTATTCCGGTAACGAAGATTTGCTGTTGCAACAAGAACAATATCAATCGTCGTGCAATCATCGCCTGCAAAACCGGTTTATTAACTCGTCGCTTCATTGAACGTAAAGTATTCACTGTTTATTGTTAACATTGTACATTTAGTGTGAACTAAATTACCTGTATATTTACCTTTTGCGAAGTTATTTACACCGTCAAAATGAGTGAATTAAAAGAACTTATTAAACAAAGGGGTCATATTAGAGCTCGACTTACTCTATTTGAAAAATATTTAACACCCTTAATGCATTGCAAAGAAACTAATACATTGAAGATACATGAGCTCAATCTTCGATTAAATAAATTACGTGACCTTTCATGTACCTTTGAGGAAGTTCAATCAAAAATTGAGATGTTGGATGAAGACACTGGCAAACAAGTAGAAGAACGCGAGACAACAGAGAATTCATTTTTTTATTTGATTGCTCAAGCTCAATCCTTGTTAGAGTTTTTCGAAAATTCAAATAGGGTTGAATCTTCATGCAACCAAACATGTAATAGTTATAGCAATTTAAAGTTACCGCCTTTAAAAATCCCACCTTTTGACGGCGCTCCAAATAAGTGGCTTTCCTTTAGGGATACATATTTATCTTTAATTCACAACAATGAAAATATTGACGATATTAGTAAATTTCATTACCTTAAATCATATTTAGAGGGAAATGTTTCTTCTGTCATTAACTCTGTTACTGTATCTTCTAAAAATTATGCAACCGCTTGGCAACTACTTTGCGAACGGTATGATAATAAGCGTTTATTGATAAATGAGCACATAAAGGGGCTATTTTCAATTGAACCGTTGCATAAAGAGACTGAGGCTGGCATTCGTAATTTAATTGATACGTTATCGAAAAATCTGAGTGCTTTAAATTCTTTAGGTGAACCCACTGACAAATGGGATACAATTATTATTTATATTGCCTCGACAAGGTTAGACAGTGCGACTGCTAGGAAATGGGAGGAATTTCGAAGCAATACAATTTCTCCTAACTTAGAAGAGTTCTATTCATTTCTTCGTCAACGCGCAATGGTTTTGGAAACCATGAATGCTAATAGGTCATGCAAAAATGAAAAACGTTATAGTGCAACAAAAACGAATTCATTTGTTACTTCTTTTACCCAGTCCTCCTTTGACAAGCAGTGTGCAATCTGTAACCAAGGTCATAAATTATATGAGTGTTTAAAATTTAAATCTTTACCTGTTGAAGAGCGTATTTCTAAGATTTCCCTATCAAAATTATGTAGCAACTGCTTTCGCGGCGGCCATCAGGCATTTCAGTGCAAGTTGAGTGGCTGTAGAATTTGCAAGAAAAAACACAACACTGTATTACATAAACAACATTCCTCACAAATTATACGCATGCAACAACTTATACCACAACAAAGCAAAACTACACCACAACAAAACCTACAAGAACTAACATCTACTAATAATAATAATTTTACAAAAACAAGTGAAGCAAACTTACCTAACATTACAGTTGACTCAAACGTACCCAGCCCCTCTTCTCTTGTTTCTATGTCTGCTGTCTCCACAAATCAAGCCGTTCTTTCTACTGCGTTGGTAAAAATGACAAACAATAACAAGGTTTTTATGCTGAGGGCTTTACTAGATTGTGGCAGCCAGTCATCTTTTATTAGTGAAGGGGCTCAAAAGAAAATGGGCTTTTACAAAATAAAGGAATCTTACAAATGTGTGTCAGGTATAGGTAATACTGTTTTAAATATTACTGAACATTGCTCAATACGGATACATTCACTATATAATTCATTTAATATATCAGTTAAATGCTATATTCTTCCTAAAATTACTGATTGTCTCCCTCATGCTAAAATTCGTTATCAAGAATTAGGTATTCCAAACAATGTACAACTTGCAGATCCAAAGTTTTACCAACCTTCCGATATTGATTTACTATTGGGTGCTGACACATTTTGGGCGCTGATTGGAACGAATAGAATAAATTTGGGGCCTCAAAGGCCAATATTACTAGAAACACAATTAGGGTGGATAGTGGCTGGCCCCATGGGAGAAGGTTATTTTAACAGTAACAATTCAAATATACAATGTAAATTTTTGAATGAGATTCGCAAACAATTATCAAAGTTCTGGGAACTTGAAGAAGTTCCTAATGTTACGTACAATGAAGACAATTATTGTGAAACAGTATTTAATACAACTACTCGCCGTGAAGACGACGGTAGATTTTGTGTACAAATTCCACTAAAAGATTCTGTAGAAATTTTAGGTGATTCATACAATATTGCAGAAAAAAGGTTTTTCCAACTTGAGAAAAAATTAAACAACAACGATAAATTAAAACAAGAATATCAACATTTTATTAAAGAATATGAGCGTTTAGGTCACATGACCAATGTTTCTAAGCCTCTATTCGGTTGTTATCTTCCACATCATGCTGTAATTAGAGAAAATAGTGAGACTACGAAGCTTCGTGTAGTTTTTGATGCTTCTGCAAAAACGTCTACCGGAATATCACTTAACGACATACAACATATCGGCCCTGTAGTACAGGATGATTTATTTTCAATTTTGTTAAGATATCGGCAACATAAATACGTTGTCACAGCAGATGTGGAAAAAATGTATCGCCAAATCATGGTAGATCCAAATCAGCGAAATTTGCAAATTATTTTATGGCGTGACGAACCATCACAGCATTTTTTATTTTTTATTTTTTTTTTATCTTCACGCACAATCCCTGACGGGGTAGCCAGAGAGAACAGATCGCCAAGTGTCACGATCCTTACATATCTCTTTCGCTTCTTTCAGATTCATTATCTTCTTCATACATGCACGTCTAGGTATCCGAGTACTCTTGACCCTACCCTCTTCGAGCAATTTGCTCACATGAAATTAAAATATATCAATTAAATACAGTGACGTATGGAATGGCATCGGCGCCATTTCTGAGTACACGTCTATTGCAACTTTCAAAAGAATGCAAAGATAATAAAATAGCACAATTAATACAGACAGACTTTTATGTTGATGACTTTCTTTCTGGCGCTGAAACTGAAAGTGAATTACAAAATATAATTAAATCAGTCACTACAGTTCTCAGTACAGCCTGCTTTCCGCTAAGAAAATGGCGAACTAATGCACATATTCACCTTCAAGGTGAATCAAATACATCGTTGCCAAAAAATTTCGATTTGACTTCGCAATCCAGCGTTTTAGGTCTGAAATGGGATCCAACTAAGGACGTTCTTCGATTTCCAGTTAACATACAGTTAGATCAAAATATTACCAAAAGAACGATTTTGTCCAATTCAGCCAAGTTATTCGACCCACTAGGTTTGCTTAGTCTTTGTACCATCATACCTAAAATAATGCTACAAAAATTATGGTTGACAAAACTTGATTGGGATGATTCGGTGGATAATGTATTAAGGGCAAAATGGCAAGGTTTCATAAATAATTTAAACACCGTATCGTTCATTGAAATACCTAGATGCGTCCTCATTAATAAACCTGTAGTGATAGACTTACATACATTCTCGGAAGCTTCACAAGTAGCATATGCTTCTGCAGTCTATCTCAGATCAGTTGATGGTTCAGGTAATGTTCTGGTCAGATTACTTTGTGCGAAAACTAAAGTTGCTCCAGTTAAACCAACGACAATACCTCGATTGGAACTGTGTGGTGCCTTGCTTTCGGCACGATTAAGTGTTAAAGTATTAAAGGCTATTCGTTGCAAAATTGATTCAGTCTATCATTGGACTGACTCTACAATAGTTTTGGGCTGGCTATCCTCTCAACCATGCGATTTGAAACCATTCGTTTCAAACCGCGTTGGTGAAATAAGAGAACTTACTAGTGCAGATGTTTGGAGGCACGTCCCTGGAGATAAAAACCCAGCAGATCTAGCGTCACGCGGTTTAAATCCTAAATTAATTAATTCTGCCACGCTTTGGTGGCAAGGACCGTTGTTTTTAACCGAAAACTCGTGTAATTGGCCCAAAATTATAAATATTAAAAATATTGGTAATTTACCTGAAATGAAAGCTTATACTAAAACACTAGAACCTACAACTACACTACACGCCTCAACTACAGTACAATCTACAACTACACTACAATCTACGTGTTCATCAAATACTACTTTAGCTGTTAGCCAGTCAATGATAGTAAATGTGGAAAGATTTTCAAGGTTCACAACATTACAAAGATCTTTAGCTTTAGCGTTCTACGTTTTATTCATAACCTCAAACATAAACATCACAAATTCACTGGCCCCTTAACAACCAAGGAATTAGAGTCATCTTTAGAAATATTAATAAAACAACATCAGAACGAATGCTTCGCAGATGAAATTAAGGTTTTAAAGTCTAAGGGAAACTTACCAAATAAGTCCCGCTTATTGGCATTAAGTCCATTTATCGATGCACGTGAAATAGTTCGCGTTGGCGGCCGTACTAAAAACTCCAATGAAGCTTACGAAAGAAAATACCCAATTTTATTAGAAACGAAAAATACCTTTTGTAAATTACTATTTGTTCACTATCATAAAAAACTTTTACATTGTGGACCTCAACTCTTACTGACCGATATAAGAAGCAAATTTTGGCCTTTAACCCTTTAACTGGTAGAGGAAACTAGCCATGCAATTGTAATGAAACTCAGATATATTATGTAAGTATGTATTGTAAAAAGGAAAAAGTTATTTTTTTATTTTTATTTTTAAAAAAAACTATGTTGGCTATATAATTGCCACTACTGGTCAGCACACATGTGAAATTGTTTGAAACATGGAACAGCACAAAGAGGCACTTCATATTTGTCACATTGTATGTTGGATCTTTTGTTCTTAGTTGCGCTGCTGCATACTCGGCAGCGCCTGTATGTTTCTATGCCTTCTGGTAAGTGCTCACCAACATTGGCGAAACGAATATCTTCAGGTACACCAAAAAGTTTCTTCTGTCGAGTGAGTACCTCTGCACTAGCCTTCCTTTTCTTTGCTAAGAATTTAGGAGCAGTTGAAAATTTTCGTTTCCGAAATGTCAAATTGTTTACTAGTTCTCTGGCAAGAGTAAGCCTGAACATCTTTTGGCTCATGGGATTGTGTACTCTTGAATTCTTTGAGTACAATATATGAGCATTTGTGATTGCTACATCGAACAAGAAAAAAAATAACCGCTTCCACCATTTTTTGCTTCGACGAGCGACATCATAAGTGGCTTTTTGCTGATCAAATTTATCAACTCCGCCCATTCGCTTCGAGTACTCTACAACTGAGCGTGGACAGGGAAAAGGTCTTTTGCTTCCATCCTTTTGTGTAGGTTGACATGTAGCCTCTTCTTTCGGGTGAAAGGCTGTACTCATAATGGTTACTAATTTTGTGTCGTTCCAGATCGAAAATCCTACGTTGTTCCGAACTCGCCACTTATACTGCCCTTTTTGTAGTTGTTTCAGTTTTTTATTTTGCCTCTTCATGATTTCGCCGCAATTTCTTAGACCAGTAGGTTTCTTTACTAAAACAGGCATTCCCATCTGCTCTAGCCCAAATTTTGTAACCGCGCTTGACAGGTTTGAGGGGCATATACTGTTTTAGCGTACTGCGTCCCTTGAACTTTACCATTGATTCGTCAATGGACTGAGATCTTGTATTTCGGGCATTATTTTGACACCTCTGGTTTATTTGATCTAGTAGTGGGCGAATTTTATAAAGTTTGTCGAAACCTGTTTCACCTCTTCTGGGCATCTGTTCGTTGTCATTTACATGTAGACATCTAGAAATCTTTTGAAATCTTTGGAGCGTCATGGTTTCAGCAATCTCAGGGACACATAATGCTGGATTGCTAGACCAGTAATCTTCAATTGACGGTAGTTTGTGTATCCCCATTTGTATTAGCATTCCAAGATATGCTTTGAGTTCGTCTTTAGTAATTTGAGTAAAATTTCTAACATTTGATTGACGAGCAAACAAGTTTGATTGAACAAGTAGGTTTTCAATCACATCATTATCAAAAAATACTTCGAAGTAAGCGATTGTTCTAGATCTACTCGGAAAATGGTTCTGCGATTGAAGTTCGTCTTCATCGAAGGAAGGCACGTTCGGATCATTTGTCCAATCAACTTTCTTCCATTCTATTTCTTCTTCATCGGAATCTGATTCTTCTGAAACCAAGGCGGTGGGTGCAGTCACCTCTGCATCTCGTGTATTGATTGATGTGGAATCAAAGGGTCGTGCAGTGGTGGCGCTAGATGTTGAAGCACGCAGTACTCTAACGTTTCCTGCTCCTCCCACTTCATTATCACTTTCACAATCTGTTGTCCCTTCACTTGTCTCATTCCGAATATTCTCTCTTCTGTTGTTGCTTTCTGTACCTATTTCGTCTTCAATCTCATGGTCGTCATCTTCTTCCCATTCATCCGTTGCCTGTTCTGGCCCATGTTTTCCGTGTCTTCTACTACTTCTAGCTGTCAACAAAGAGTCTGCAAAGTCTGGTTCAATGCAGGTTGGAAAGAGGAATCGTTGTTAGGCGAAAGCAATTGTTCAATGTCATCAGTATCGGAATCTTCCAAACTGTCTTCTGAATCTGTACCATCTGAAAGGCCAAACATGGCTTCCAACTGCAACTCAATTTCGCGATCGTTTATCGACCGACGACGGTGCTCCATATTTTATTCTGTAAATAAAAATAAATCTCACTGGTACTGGCATATATATTGCCATCAACAGGTAATATACTAACTGGTAGTGGCAAATATACTGCCGACTTGATATTTCCCGATTTCTATAATAATATTGAATATTGATCTAAAATAATTATCCAAGATTGACATAAAAACACAAATCTAACGATTATTAAAAAAAAAACTTACCAAAATAACAGTTTTTTGTAGAGATTGAGCCGGATTACTCTCGAGAATCGAAAATGCCACAAATTCTAACTAACTTGACATATATTTGACAAATGTCAAATGAATGTTCCCAAATTATTAGTTTTTTTCCATCGTACTAGTTTGTTGTCTATTGCCCGAAATGATGAAACGTTTCGTTAATACAAATCTTCTTTTAGTAGAGCTACGAAAACATGTCGGCAAATATAATGCCTCTACTAGACAAAGGGTTAAGAGGTAGAGTATTAGCAAGATCCACTGTCAACAACTGCCAACTGTGTAAAAGAATAAAGGCAAAGTGTTTTATTCCTATAATGGGTAATTTGCCAGCAACTAGAGTTACTCCAAATCTTCCTTTTCACGTAAGCGGTGTGGACTTTGCCGGGCCTTTTTTTATTACTGACCGTAAAGGTCGCGGTTGCAAAATAACAAAATGTTATTTGAGTTTATTTATTTGTTTCGCTACAAAAGCCTTGCATCTCGAAGTAGCAAGCGATCTCACTACCGATATTTTTATACTATGTTTAAGACGTTTTATATCCCGAAGAGGAAAGCCTCTTAAATTATATTGTGACAATGGTAAAAATTTTGTCGGTGCAAATAATGAAATTACTAATTTTTTCAAATTTAACAGTGAAAGCATATCTGGTTTTGCAGCCGATGAAGGCATACAATTTAAATTTTCCCCTCCGTATTCCCCGCATTTTGGCGGACTTTGGGAGGCAGGTGTCAAGTCTGCTAAGTACCACGCAACTAGAATATTAGGCGACAAACATCTTACGTTTGAGGAGTTGTCTACTTTATTTGCGCAAATTGAGGCAATCCTTAATTCCAGGCCATTAACCCCTCTTTCCTCAAACCCCAATGACCTCAATCCTTTAACACCAGCGCACTTCTTGATCGGCAGGCCGCTTACGTCACTACCATCGGAAAATTTACTAGACATTAATTTAAATAGACTCGATAGGTACCGATGTCTTGAAAAGATGCGTCAACACTTCTGGGAACGCTGGCGAAAGGAATATTTAAGCGAATTGCAACAACGGCACAAATGGCAGGTTAACCAACAAGCATTTAAGGAAGGGGATTTGGCAATTATAAAAGAAGCTAATTTACCACCGTTGAAATGGCGTATGGCGCGAATACATAAATTATATCCTGGTTCTGATGGAATTGTACGAGTTGCAGATGTATACACGAAGAATGGCATTGTGCGTCGGGCTGTCCACAACCTGTGTCCCTTGACAAATTCATCTACAACAGGAGCACCTCAAAATCCTGAAGAATTTGAGGGGGGGGGGGGGGGGGGGAGGAGGATGTTAAATCTTGAACGCGTCCAAGAGTGACGTCACGCATGGGAACGAACTGGCCGGTCCCGGCCATTACGCTTCGAGCTCCGCACACAGCAACAAGCTTTAAATTTAATTATTTGTAATTACTAATTAAATAGCATATTAAATGTACTGCATTTCATTGCGGAGTTTTCATTGCAATATCCTCAAGAAATTGAAGACCAGCGTGATCATAAATTAATGAAGTTTTGTAATGTTTGTTTAATATGATTAATAGAATCAGGCGTTACTTTGCGGAAATCCATTATATAAAAGCTTTTAGAAAAGTTTACTTCGCAAATATCCGCGTTATAAAATAAAATGATGTGTCTTACCTAGTATGAAGAGCACCTCCCGCCCTCCCTAAATTGCGTGCACTATCCCCGTCACCACTAATCCCAACCTAGCCAACGACCACTCCTTTAAAGTCTTACATACGTGTAATAAAGGGCTGCGGCTGTGTGTGCTGGAACAGTTAGAGATATTAAAAAGTAATAATAATACCGTTGCATTGCTGAATGAACAAACAAATGTTACTAACTCACCTCTCTTAAATATCTTCAAACCTGCTCTCTAATAATAGAGAGCCTCGCAATATGGTCGTTTGTCACCCTCACGGTAATCGGCGATTGGTTGGGTGGTTGGAGGGTGGGCGTTGCGCGGCGGTTTGTTTTTAATTTTACAAACGGCTGCGTAAGGCCAGCGGTGATTGGTCGCATGTTTTATCGCATGACGCAGTCGCTCGCTCCTTAGGTTGAGAGCGGTTGCATCATCGGTCTGTATAAAAGGCACTTGTTTTGGCTCGCCGCTCACTTAGCGGTTAGCCACCGTAGAGTCTATATCACCTGATGATGCCTCGTGTCGTATTATCGTCAGTGGTGTGTCTTGCCTAGTGTGGTGGTGTTGGGAGTAGCGGTGCTGGGATTACTGGTGACGGGGATAGTGCACGCAATTGAGGGAGGGCGGGAGGTGCTCTTCATACTAGGTAAGAAACATCATTTTATTTTATAGAGCGGATATTTGCGAAGTAAACTTTTCTAAAAGTTTGTTTAATAGTTTTACAGTTC